CCAATGCTTCATCATATTTACCTAGATCATGAAGAACCGAGCCGATATTTGAATAAATGGTGGACATACATGGATCATCGGGTGACACAAAAGTCAAATGAAGTTTGAATGACTCACGATAATGTAATAATGCTCGATCGAGTTCACCCTTCTGGTCAAAAACATAGCCTAACTGATGATGAAGTTCTGCATTTTCTTTTACATCTGTATTACATGCTGTTTCGAGCATTGTTTCATACATCTCTTGAGCTTTGTTACTTTCGCCCATTTCAATCATCAGCGCACCGAGACGTTCAAGTCGTGTTGATCCACAAGTTATTTGTCGCATTTGTTCAGTAAGTTGACGAAGTTGCTCATCGTCATCATCATTTGTTAAAATGAGATCAACGTACCACAAATGATGTTCAATCTGTTCAATTTTCCCAATGCGAAAGACAGTATGCATTGAGAACAATATTTCCTTCTCTGAAGTCCCATAATAGCTCACGTTATCAAGAGAAGTAAATGGACTTGATCGAATCGTTGGATCGATTTCCATTCGAAATAAAATACCAATCAAATCTGGATTGCTGCCAGCACTATCTGCAAATGTATACGAAACTTGTCGATCAGTGCTAGTCGAAAGAAAATTGTTGAATGATAAAAGACCACCTTTGCTACTGTTCAATTTTTCGACTTCACTATGAGATAATCCTTGTCCTCGGTAAACAATTGTTTTCTCTGTTGATTGCATTTCGTCTCGATGAAGTTGTTCTATTTGTCGATGAAGATCGCGTATGAAGAAACCCATTTTGATGATCACTTCAATATTCTGAGTTCGTAGAGCTCGATTGACCATTGAATAAATAAATGCTTCTTTGGTATACCACCAAATAGGTGAATGAAGATCATAATCATCAATAAATTTATCAATCACATTTAAATCAATATCATATTCAGCATTGTATTTATGACAAAAGTCGACAAATTTATGTTTGGCTTCTTCGTCAAAGGGTTCTTCTATAAGAATCTCTTTCAATATTTGTGAATACATAAATGATTGATCGAGTTGCTTCAGATCAATTAAAGATGAGTTGATTATACTGATTGATGTACAATCTTTTTGAAATTGCTTCATGTCTCGTTCAATTTGATCGAATATGGATTTGACATCCGTAAAATTATTCTTAACTTTTCTATATTCATTTGTCTTATGGTAGTCATATTGACTATCTAGTATGTAAATAGAATGAAGTTGGACCATGGCATAAATGTATGGCACGATTGTCTCACCAAGGCTACTGGAGATAATAAGAAAAACTTTATCATCATCATCATAATCAATATTAGTGAGAGAATCAACGCATTGATCTAAATCACTGAATTTTCGAACGGAAGTGAATGTAGATAGTCGATGTTGAGTCATCATTTCCTGACATTCATCATACATCTTATTCTTGTTAGTATCGAGCCAGATAATGATAAACTTATTGAAGAGCCGTCTCCGATATCTATTTGTTCTAGTCATAGTCTTTTCCATCGTTTTAAGATATACACGTGTTTGTGATTTGATGCGACAATGACATCAAAGGTATAAATGTGATAACGAAAATATTCTTCCTTTTTCCTACTCTTCACTTGGTTATTTATAATTATTGATGCATACACATCAAATGAGTCATTGAGGTCCCAGAGTACGTTTTCCTCGTTGTGTTCATTTTTGAATGTTTTTAATGCTCATAAGATGGAGAACGATCATACTGATTCAAAGATACTTCAATTAGTCTTGATCTTAAGATCGTGGTCGTTGTCGTTCTGTCAGACTTTTAAATGCTTCCTGTGAATAATTTATACGCTAAAGGCGTTGTTGTTTATACGAAATACTGAAAGTTGTGAGAATCATTCATTGAAAGAATTTTTTAAATATTCTTGAAGAACAATGGATTTTTCTGAACAGGAATTTTTATTTCATTTTTAAAATCAATTGTTTCATGAAAATAATTTCTTTTTTCGTATGTAAACATCAGCCATAATATTCCTCTCTCACTCGTATCATTGAATCGATAAAATTTATTTTTGAAAAAAAATATTAGGTACTTACTCAACTTATAATCTTAAGAGTTGATATGTCACCGAAAGAACAATATCGAAATTTATCTATGGTGAAATTCACTTTGTTACTCTCAATGCCTACTATCAAAGAATTGAAATCTTCTAATAAGCGTATAAAGAATGAATGTTGTATTCTTTATAATCAAGACAAAAGATTCAATGCTTGTATGTCGTATTAAAAAGTTATTGTTTTTTGCTTCATGTCATAAGTAATAATAACCGAAAGAAAACAAAACTAAATCGTTATTCGACAATTATTCATTTCTCTGATTAATCAAAGTTTTTATGTAAATTTGTAAATGATGTTAACAAAGTTCACTAAATAATAAAAATATTCCCCAGCAAAAATGATAACTCACTCATCTATGATTCTATAATATTTGAAACACTAATATTAATTTTTTTTTCAATTCTTTATTTAAAAAACGTGAGAGTGATACAATAAAGCAAAAATGTAACTTTTTTATTCGTTTCTTCTCACTACAACTTGTTTCAATCCAAAAACCAACAAGTTTTCACCATCAACACATGTCACAATCATGTACTACGCCGAAATGCAAGGGAACATCTTGAGCTCTTTGTGATTGTTGTACCATAGTAGTGACCGTCAAAAAACTTGAACAATGGCAAAAAGATTGACCATTTCTTTGAGAAGAAATGTCAACAACTTGAACGACTTATTACCGAGAAATTAGATCAAGAATAAGAAAAAATTCTTTATGTATAATCAAAAATGAGCAAGAAGTGACCCGAGATGATATTGATACATTGACGTCAACTATTCATCAACTAGAAACAGAAATTAAGAAAATTGAACAAACATATTTCAAGATCAGTACGCGATCGTTAGAAATAGATGAACATGAACTTAGTCAATCAACTCTTGCATCTGTTTACAGAACACTTAATAGTACTATTATTATTGTAAATAATATCGAAAAATCAGTGCACATAGAACTACGATTTTGTGCAACATATTCGATTGCATCTGGTCACATGTAATTAATAATAGTTCTAATCTAAATTTCGCATATCATTGTTGTTCGCTTAACTGTAATGAATAGCTAGTGTACTTGTCTACGAAACTAAACACCTATTGCATTTTACAAATGATGGACAGTTGAAGACAACCATTTCATACAATGTCATACCGTATCGTGCTAAACTATTCGGCTCAAACATGCTAGCTATATCGACTGAGAAAGAAATAAATTTTCATAAAATCTAATGGTTGATATCAATATCAAATTAATTATATTAACGTACTGATCTACACTGACGAATCTATTTTTTTATACAAAAAAACTCTTTGCTATTAGGATTATCGCACAAAGGCAAAATGTTTCTTTCTCGTTGAAGTGTTTAGTTTTATAAAGTTTGAAAATTACTTTCCCTTGATGTATGAATGGAAAACTACATTTACATTTAGTCCGATTCATCTTCATAAAACAGCTTAAGAAATTAAATTGTCTAGAAAATCCGTTTTAGTGTTCAAAGAAAAATTCTGCATCAATCTTATGATTAAAACAACATGGCTGTATTTATTTTTTCTTTATGTCATATTAGCGTGCATAGTGTTTTTTTTTGTTTCAATTTTCTTCGAAACAACTTAATTAATGTAATGCAAAACATGTTTACATACCGATCGATACAATCAATGTTTAAAATAATAGGTAATATTACGGTGATGGTGTAAATTAGCGACATCTACATTTTTAGTTTGTAAAAATATTAACAAAAAAATTTTAATAAAAATTTTTATCTTAATTTTTTATACTTGTTATTCTAATTTAATATACAAAATTTTCTCATTGAATTAATAAGGATAGTGCAGTACATCAACATTGTGGTTGGTTATTAGCATTTGATCTTGTTTATTACACAGTCCAACACTTGCAAATAAACACTTATTATTATTCGGATAGAAATTTTTTCGATATCTATTTTAAAATTATCATTCTTTTCTAGATCTTGTTCTTTATACATTTAATTATATTTCTACGAACAAGAAAAATAACATCATGGTTCGCTATTCACGTAAGTTAATTTTTTTTTTTGTTTTCCATGAATAAAATTTTCTATTTATTTATTTATTTTGTTTTTTTTTTAATAGGCGCTGTTGAAAATCCAGCAAAATCTTGCAAAACTCGTGGTGCCTATTTACGTGTTCACTTTAAAAATACACGTGAAACAGCCAATGCTATTAAACGTATGACTTTACGACGTGCAACACGTTATTTAAAAAATGTTGTCAATAAAAAGGAAATTGTTCCATTTAAACGTTATAATGGTGGTGTTGGTCGTAAGGCTCAAGCTAAAGTATTTAAAGTATCACAAGGACGTTGGCCAAAAAAATCAGCTGAAATTCTTTTACAATTATTAAAAAATGCTGAATCAAATGCTGATGTTAAAGGTCTTGATGTTGATCATCTTGTTATTGATCATATACAAGTAAATCGTGCACCTAAAATACGTCGTCGTACATATCGTGCACATGGTCGTATTAATCCATATCAATCATCACCATGTCATATTGAATTAATCTTAAGTGAAAAAGAAAATCTTTTAACACGTACAGGTGGTGCCATTGATGATGAACCAGCAGCTAAAAAGAAAGAATCAAAAAAGAAACTTAAACGACAAAAAATGATGAATAGAGAATAAATCTTAATGATTTAAATATTCTCATCAACATAACAAGATACACAAGAAAAATCCGTTGTTGTCTTTTTTTTTTGTCTTAGAAACACAATATGTTAATGTTTCTTTTTAATAAAATATAGAACATCCAACGATGGATAGAAAAAAAAAACAAAATATTGTTGTTTATTCTCTTTGATAAGAAGCATAATGAAAAGAAAAAGAAAAAAAACAAAAAACACTTTCTATACAATCAGTTGTAGATTTTAATGTCTGTATTTACTCGAGCAAGAAATGGTTTGTTTGGACAAACTAAACCACGAAATCCACATTCGATTGAAAATCTTAAGTAAGTTATTCGACATATAGCAAAGAAGAAAAGGGATATTTTTATATTTTATTCAGATATTTATATGGTGTTTTAAATCGTAATTCAATTGTATCAGATGCAAATCGTGATTTATTAATTGAAACACTTCGATGTATATCAGAAATTCTTATTTGGGGCGATCAAAATGATAGTTCTGTATTCGAGTAGGTTTTTGTTTATTTCTTATTTCAATGTTTGATTTTTCAAAAAGATCGATTAGAATTTCATAAAATATTTCTGTTCTATTGAGTATCTAAACAAATTTATTATTGTCAATATGAATAATTTCCTTTTTAGTTATTTTCTTGAACGAGGAATGTTAACATATTTTTTAAATTATATGCGTCAAAAACATGGACGTTATATATGTGTACAAGTATTACAAACGCTCAATATTCTTTTTGAAAATATTCGTCATGAAACATCTTTATGTAAGTTCAAATTTTTTTTTTTTTTTATAATAGAATAATTAAGAATCTTTATTTTAATACTAGATTATCTTTTATCAAATAATCATATTAATAATATAATTGTACATAAATTTGATTTTACTGATGAAGAAATAACTGCATATTATATTTCATTTCTTAAAACTCTTTCATTAAAATTAAATACACATTCAATTAATTTTTTTTATAATGAAGTATGATATATTTTTCTAAATTTTATTTTTTTTTTTGATGAATTTCTTTTATTTAGAGAAATAATGATTTTCCATTATATGTTGAAGCAATAAAATTTTTTAATCATACTGAAACAATGGTTCGTATTGCTGTACGAACATTAACACTAAATGTTTATAAAGGTAAATAGAAAAAAAACAAAAAATCGTATGGATTTGTTTTTTTTCGTAGTACCTGATCCAGCAATGCATCGTTTTATATTAAATCGTACAGCAACAGAATATTTTTCTAATCTTATTTGGTTTATACGAAGTCATATTTTAGATTTTGATAATTTAATAAGAAATAATCAAGAGTAAGATTAAAAAAAGAAAAAAAAAGTCTATTTATAACTATTTGATTTTATATAGTATTAATAATCGTGGTCGTTTAACATGTAGTTTAGAAGAATATCTTGATCATATACATTATCTTCAAGATATATTTTTGCTCAATGTTGATAGTCTTAATAATGTTCTTAAAGATCAATTAATGAATCGACTTCTTATACCAATTTATATATTTTCATTAATTAAATGTGATAAATTTTCACGAATAACAGTAAGTTAAAGATTATTTAGAACTATGAGAAATAAAAGAAGAGATAATATGTGATAAAGAAAAATGTTTACCATATTCAGAACGAAAGATGACTTAAAACAATTGCTATTAGTTAAGGCCTTCCCTCTAAAACGAAATTTTCTTTTCGAGCATCCAATCATAATGATATTTTCAGTGGAGGTGTATCTAACCTCACAGTAAAAATTTAGGTTTCCGTGCGTCACAAATTTCTCCGCTATTTCAAATGCTAGAAAAGTTGGGCTGATTTTAAAATGTAGCCAATATGTGGCGCTACAACTTAACAGGGTCCGATTTTTCGATTCTCTTCTAGCTTGTGTTTTTAGAGGATTTCTCTGATGAAATATGAAAAAGCACATAGGAGTAGGTCCAGAAAAGTTAGTTTCTTATAAACATTAATGAAGAAATCGAAAAATTCAAGTTGTAGCGTCACATATTCGCTACATTTTAAAACCAGCCCGACTTTTCTAGCGTTTAAAATGACGGAGAAATCTGGGATGCACGGAAACGTAAAAATCAAAAATCCTATTTTGAGAAAAAACCTTATTTTCTCCGATGGGAGGTTCAGAAAAGTCTGTGCAATATCCTTAAATCTTATCATAAAATCAATAAACTATAGTGCATTCAAAAGTAGACACTTAGCCCTATCTAACGAGCTATGAATCACAAAATTGACATTTTGGGGGGGGGGGGGGAAAGAAAGAAAAAGATTGATGTTTATAGACTCAATTTTTGAAATTCTCAATATTTAATTTTATTTAAGGATTCTCGACCTAGACTCGATCAATCATCTGCTTTATTTCTTCTTGCCGAAGTAAGTGTTTGAGACATTGATAAACTTTAATCTATTTTTTTAAATTATTATGTTTTTTTTTTTTTTGGTTTTTCTTGTTGTTCACTATCGACCAGTGATAGAAGAATTAGCCGATATAATTTTATCGGCAAATATTGAAACAGCTGAAGCTATTCAACGTCGTTATGGAGAACAAGTAAAAATCGATTTGTTGTTTCTTCAAGTCTTTTTATTTTTATTTAATATTTCTAGATTTCTTATAGTTTACCTCCAACATCTCTCGATGTTTGTTTAGCTAAAACAGAATCAATTCATAATAAAACAACTTCCGGTATTGATTTTTCTTATTATTCTTTATTCTTTATTTTTTTTTTTTTTAGAAATTTCACTAAATGCTCTTGATATTGTTAATGATACATATCGATATCGTTATGATCATGAACAAATTCGTATACGTTCTGCATCATCATCCCCTCGACCTTCTTCAATAAATCAACGACTTATTGAATCTAATGCAAAATCTACATGTTTATATGTATCAAATTGGACTAATGATGAAAAAAATAAACGTCGTCTTAGTCAAATAAAATTTAATGATACTAATTTATCAGAAAGGTAAATTTAGAATAAAAAAAAGCAAAAGAAATTCTTATATTTGTATTATAGACCTTATTTTGAAGCATTAATTAAAGCACTTGATTGTACTGAAAATGATCAATTATGTTTTTATGCATTAAGTGTACTTTTAACAATGACAATGAATCTATGTAAATTTATTATATTTTTTTTTTGCGATGTAATGAAATTTAATTTTATTGTTCTTTTTTTAGCTGTTGATAATGTTATTCTTGAATCAATTGGTTTAACAGTGAAATCTTCAGTATGTTATTTTAACTAATATCGTGTCGTTTTGTCGATAAGTTAATGCTCAATTAATTAAGGACATAATCAATATGATGTGTACGTGTTGGACAGTTAACTATTGACAAAAGGACTAAAGGGTTATCTCTTAAAGTACTTCTTCAGACGAAGAAAAATATTCTTTGAAAGTTTTGAATCACGAAGAAATTAATATTTATACCTTATTAATTACGTTTTAACTTATCGACGGATCTATTCGATTGAATTTTATTTTTGAAGAGAAATAAATATTTTTTTTTTTAAGGATAAAAGTTTTTATAATACAGTATTAGTTGAACAACTTTGTGAAATACTTTTATTATCAACATCACAAGGTAAAATATATATTTATTTTTTTTTTTTTTGTTAAATGATATAATTATTTTTGTATATTATTAATAGATTCAAAAATTCGTCTTGTTACATTAAATTTAGCAATAAATTTATTAAAAAAACTTGTTTATAATGAAGAAGAAAAAATTTCTTATTTATCTGATCATCATTTAGCACGTATTGAACAAGTATATGAACAATCAACAGAAAATTTACGACGACATTATCGAGTAAAAATTTATTTAGTGTTTTGTATTTTATTTTTGGTTATACTTTTAGCAACAAGAAATGTTTCTTGATCTGTTTGAAGATGAATATCGTCAAATGCAATTAAATCCAATACGTTTAGAATATTTATTAAAAGATGCATATATGTTATATCCACCAACAAGTACACCATTAACTGGTGTAGAATTTATTATACGTTTACCATTGGGTGATATTGAACGAGCAAGACGAGTAAAGAGATATTAATAAAAATATCTTAAAATCAAATGTTTTTTTGTTTTTTTTTAGTCAATTCGAGGATTTTTTCTTATTCGTGCTTTATCATTGAAATTAAGATCAATTATCGAAACTGATTTACCATTAATAAAAGCAGATAGTTTAGTTAAAGAAAATGATAAACTTGATTTGAGTAAATAAAAATATATTATTAAATAAATGCTGTTGTTATTATTATTATTTTCTTTTTATTTAAGATAATAGTGATTTAATTGCATGTACTATTCATATAAAAGACAAGTAGTTTTTTTTTTTTGTTTTTCTATTCTGATGTTTGAATATTTATTTATTCTTAGAAAAGAACGTCGTTTTCTTGTAACGGATCCAATGCAATTTATTCTTATTGAACCAGATGTTAAAAGACTTGGATGGGGTATTGTAAAATTTTGTGATCTAATGCAAGTTAGTATTTTAAAAATGTGATTTGACTTATTTTCATTAGTATTAATCGAAAATTAAGATAAATACATTGAATTCAATTATTTTAGAAATAATGGTTCTTTTCGAGGATTTCCGCTTGAAAAAATATGTCATTATTTCTTTTGAGAAAGATAAAAAAAAAAAACGAGAAATCTTTTTCATTGTTTTTCTATTAACGCTTTTCTGATTGTGCATTCGAAAATGCCCGAAGAAACTTCATTGTAACAGATTGCTTTTGTATTTTGTTAGAAAGAATATGTGCAACTTATTATTATATTATAATACATTTCTATAAATAGATAACTATTTTTCGAGAAATTGAAATATGTCATCCTGTTTCTTTGTGTAAAAAAAAGGAAAGAATTTTGATAGACGATGCAATCTGATATAATCTTTCAAAATAAAAACTAAATGAAATATCGAATTTTGAAGGCAATTAGAAATATGATATAGTGAATATTTCATAATACATATGTACTATATGAATTCTTGTTTTGTTTTTTTGTCTTTAAGGATGTGAAAGTAGCAAATGATAAAGAAGATACACGTTCACTACATATAACCATTCATAAACCAGTGAATAATACATATGTTAAATCTAATCCACCTATTCTTAATGCAAAATTTACATTTGATGATCATATTCGTTGTATGACAGCTAAACAAAATTTAAGTAAAGGTCGTCAAAGGTATTTGATTGTTTTTTTGTTTTTAAATATGAATAAATACTTTGTTTTTATTTTTAATCTAGAGCTCGTCAAATAAAATTATCAAAAATAGCTTCAATATTAGACATTCAAGAAACAATAAATCAATCAAATTATATGACATCAACAAGAACAACATATTCACAACATCAATTTGGTAAGGTTTTTAATTTAACTATAGTTCGAAATTCTCCTGTTAGATAATTATTATTAATATTTTTTAATGATGGTATTTGTTTTATTTTTGCATAACGTAATTGATTTGATGTAATATATGATGGTCGAATAAAATTTATTTGTTTGTCAAGTAAATTTAATGATGTTGATTTTGTTAAATATAATTTTGAATGAGCACGACGATTATATAAAGATTGACATTTATGATTTTGACAAGTAAATTTAACATTTAATGATGTTTGATAATTATAAGGTTTTTTTTTATGATTATAAATAAAATAAATAAGAAATATAAAAATAAATAAAGCAATAATAACAAGAATTAACCAAATAATTAAAATATGTTTATTAGATGTTTGAAAATATTTTGGTAAAATATTTTTACTTGTATTAAAAAGCCAAAGAAAAATTGGTGAAAGTTTATTTGATGATGTAATATTTATAATTGTTGAAGTAATTAATGTTGAATTTTGTATATTAAATTTTGTAAAATTTATTGATATAAATGAAGATTGTAAAGAAATAATAGATGTAAGATTAATTATTGTATAGATTGATTCTCGATGAATAGATTGAAAATCAAAACAAATAAGATATTTATCTGAATTATTACTTAAAATAAATAAATTTTCTAATGAAATTGATTCATGTTGTTCAATATGCCATGCTGATAGAAGTGTAATATTTTTGTTGATTTTATCTTTCCATTCATCAATAATCGAAGATAATACACAAGTTAAATTTTGGTTGTTATGCATATTAGTATTAATTAAAATATTTGCTTTTGTTCGAAGTAAACATTGTTGTGCGATATTACTAATATTTTGATATTGAAATTCATTTGGTGTATGACAATTTGGTATTGGTCGACTTATTGAAAGTATAAGAATATTTGTACATGAACAATACCAATAATTCATATTTAAATTAATTATATTGAATGATTGATGTGGAAAAATATTTGGTAAAATTGTTTTTAAATAATTATTATTTAAATAAAGTTCTTTTAAATATAATAAATTAGTAAAAGTTTTTTTTCTAATAATTATTAAACGATTATAACTAAGATCAAGTTTTTCTAATGATGGAAAATAATATGAAAAATTTTTATTTATTATTCGTATTGAATTATGTGATAGATTAAGTGTTTTAATACTATATAAAATAGGTGATAATAATGATAATGATCGATTAAATATAATAGGTGATATATTTGATAGATTAGCATAAGTTATCGACATATATTCAAGATAATTCCAAAGAGTATATTGATCAAGATAAAAAGTTTTCATTGAACAATTTATTGTTGTATAAGATTTTATTATTGAATAGAAACGTTCTTCATGTTGAAATAAACTATTTGTTATATTACATATTATATGAAGTTTTTCTATATTTGTACGATCAATTGGTAATCTATTATAACATTGATAACATAAATGTGATGAACAAGATAAACAAGATGAATTTGTAGAATAACATATTTTAATAAAAACAATAAAAATGAAAAATATTCGAAAGATTTTCATTGATATTGATTGTTGTATCATCAAATGATTTGTCATAAGTATAAGATAGAGAAGTGGTTTTTATTTCTTTTCGTCTCACATCATCAACCATCGATTGATTAATCTGTATTGTATGTATATTTATATACATTCATTCACGCACACGCGTCTCATGTTCACTCCCCTTACGTACCATCATTATAACTGTGACGAGCCAGATGATGTTTTAATAGAATAGGGACAATTAAACTTGACGAGTGATGTATGGTAACTGTCATCTTACGGAATAAGCTTCTCTATCATAAAAACACAAAAGCAAGATATCAAATTCATTCTTTATTTGACAATACGAGTAATGATGTCTGCGACCTATCATACACGAAACATTTTTATAGTAAAAAATACAATAACATGCTCAATATTGTTTTTTTTTTGTTTTATTAATCATTTAGGAATTTCAACACCAGCATTGTCAAATCATCCTGGTAAGTAAAAGAATGTCTTTCTCTATCAATAAAATTTTTCGTTCAATCCTATTCAGATTTTAGCGTATCAAATTTCGAAACGCGTATGACATAAGAGATTGATGTTGTACTATACATATTTCTTTTTTTTTTTCATAATTGTTGACTTTATTTTTGCATATATGAAAATTCCGAAAAACAAATGATAACTTCAAATGTTGTTTAGCTGTTTCCTATTTATAATCCTACTATATTTGTTATTGATTCATAATCTATTTTTTTCTAATTTTTTTTATTTAAGGTCGAGCAGCTCTAATATCAGGTCCTCCACGACAATCAATTAGTCAAAATATTTCAAACAATAATCGATTAATTACATCTAGTACAACAACTGCATCATCACCATCATTAAGTACTATTGAACAAAGTTCACATTATTTATCATCACATAATCATTCTGAACAACCATTAAATAGTGGTAGTGGAACATCGACAAGTAGTCGTACGTCCATATCCGATACTAATGAAACAACGCAAAGAGGTTTGTAATTAATACAAAACATATATATTTCTTTTGATGAGAATGTAAGTTTGTTTCTTTTTCAGATAGTAATAAGTCTAGTTCAAGTGTAACAGCACCTAAAAGTTTACTTGAATGGCATGAACAACCAGTCAATCTTAGTGAACAACCACTTCTGCCCGAAAAAGTTCATGTTCAAATTCTTTCACCTAACAGCGATCGAGTAAATAGATTCAAATAACTTTTGTGCTTTTTCTTTTTTCATTTAAAAATCTTCTTTTTAGACAACTACACGTTTTTTTGTTGACAATGACCTTGCCAGTCTGATTATGCCAAATGGAGAATTGAAAACGAAAGATCTTGCAACTAAAACTGAAGCCATAAATAATCAATTGGATGACAATGAAAATAAATGAATTCTTTGAATTCTTTTTTCTTTTTCATCTCTTCATCTTTGTCTTTCATAAATAATTGAATGAGTGATGGATTTTTTTCAAATTCCTAATTTTTAGAACGGGTTTTTGTGTGTGTATGAGTCTTTTTTTTTTTTGTTCTTTGTTGTATTATTTGTACGTGCATTAATGAGAGAGCTGTGGATTCTTTCAAGCTTGGTCAGACCTAGTTTTGAGTCTGAATAGAGAACTACTGATGTCAGCCTACTCGGATGGATGTGTCGGCTACCGTTCAATTTTAGATTACATGTTTTTGATGAGAAGCCAAGAAATAACTGAAATTTTGATCTTTTGTATGGTTATTTGCACAGAAGATGCTAGCGATTAGTGAGAAAAAAATCCGGAATAGATCTGATTAGATTCAAATCTGCATCTGTTGAATCTGAGTTCAAAAGGTTAGTTTCTGTAGGGTTGAGGTCTACAAAATCGTAGACTCACAGCTCCATACTGTCGATTTAGAGAATGTAAGTGACTTTATCAGTACAGTATTATTTTATTCGTTATATACATATACATTTATTTTTTTTCTGTTGGTTGTTAATATTGGATATAAATAAAACATGCAGTTATTTTAAATTGAGAAGTACACTTGTTGATACTATTTTAAATTCTATGATGCTCAACTATAAAATAACAACATGTTCAGTCGATGATCATAATCGTTTACTAATCAAGGTACTAATGTACTAATGCTCATACTATTATTACTTCAGTGATCATTCATTCACTCTCAAATAATGTAATGAAAGATCTATAGAAAACTTTTATTTGATGCATTCATTCTTTCCTTCGTCTTCTACTAAAGTTTCGAAGTATTAATTCTTATCTAAACCAGCAACAATAAGCAGACTGAAAATTGAAGGCATCGTTCAAAGTTTTCGTCGTATCAAAGATCAGTAATTGAGACTGAAAATATGTATCTCAATGTTTTGTTGAACTTTTGTTAGAAGGCTCACAGTGATAGCTAAAAATATATCTATTCGCCGTTGCTTAGACGATTATTTTTAAAACCAATTAATGATGATAATTTCATTACAGTTTTCCTTAAGAATACGAAATTTTGGCAACAATATCAAAATATGTACGTATATTTTTATTGGCTGCATATAGTACTAAACTCTTAATTGAGAAGAGAGAAAATAAACTTGCCAAAATAACAAAAATGTGCACTGTTGTATTTCTACTTAGGATACCATTTCTGTAGTTTCAATCTTATCCATTTCTTGCAAAAGACTGAAAGGACTTATCAAGGAATTTTTCAGAAACTAGAGTGTTCGAATTCTTACAGACAATACGAATCAGAATCAAAATCGTGTTGGAAAAATCCAAGAGTCTAACTTCGAAGTTGATATGAAATTGAGGCCGGAAACATCAGCTATTTTTGCATTTTTTTTTTCTGAAAAGAAATTCGAAAAATTATTAAATTATGGTATTAATTTTATTTTAACTTACATGTATACAAAAATCAAAAATTGATTTTTATAAAAATCGAATTGAAATTAATTAAAACTGGTAGAACTGTATAAAGTACAGCAAAATTTAAAATGAATTTGCATTTTTCAAATTTTATTCAGATAATTTCTGTTCACATAAAATTCAATTATAATTTACCAAATAAGTTAAAATTCAACATGTGGAAACTTGTAGTTATACATCGTAATGTGACACGATCTAGTCAGATAAGTCGATCGATTTGTACAATGAAGATCTACAGATCAATGTTCTATATATGTTCATTTTTCTTTTGTGCTCTCTAAAAAAAATCTTGTAAGATATAGACAAGATTTTAAGGTCATGTTCCAAATTTTGGTCACTATCTTCGCCTTTTCCTGACTAAAAAAGTTTTTCAAGAAAAAAAATGAATCCTTGAAGAATTCTTATTGAGTCTATGACGAACCTAGTGTGTAAACAAAATATTTTCGTTATAGTTACGCTAATTTAAGAAAAATGAGAAAGAAAATTTAGAGAAACCATAATAAAAAGAAAGAAAAATATGACACAGAGTATGACATCATGTTACAATGAGTCATTTTTTCACTCGTTCGTTATTTTCTGATACTATAAGCAATCACAGATTAACAAAAAAAGAGTGAAGCACTCAAGTGAAACGAAAGGAAAAAAAGCAACACGCACAAAAATCATAATGGAAAACAAATAAAAACATTTAGAAGTAAATTACAACGTACTATATATATGTAAGTTATTTGCACTTCTTTTATTGATAAAACACAACGTACATCATGGACAAAAAGAAAAATTCAGCACTAACAACAACTGCTCCCACTACTGTTGCTGGCACATCATATGAGCAGGCGAGCTTAAGCTCACGACAGCCTCCTTATACTCGTATAGTTCAAAATTTTCTAATTGTCTGGCTCGACAACACCATCGATACTGAAAGAAACAACGATTGCAGACATATTATTGCAAAATTAAAAGAAATAGCCAGCAAGGTCAATACGTTCACGAATGTTGATGAATGTGTTGATTTTATCCGTGACTTCAAACATAATAAAATGTTTATGATCACTTCTGGTATATTGGGACAAATTGCAGTTCCCATCGTACATGACATGTCTCATGTTAGTGCCATTTATATTCTTTGTGATAACCAAACTCGATATGAACAATGGGCCAACAACTGGCCAAAAATAAAAGGAGTCTTTACATATATTACTCCGATCTATGAAGCCCTTCAACAAGCGGCAGAAGAATGTGATCAAAATATGATTTCGATTAGTTTCATTACCAATGATAGTGACAACAGTAAGCAAAACTTTGATCAATTGGATTCTTCGTTTATCTGCACACAGATAATAAAAGAAATTTTATTAAGTATTCATTTCGAACAACAACATATCGATGAATTTCTTACGTATTGTCGTGCTGTTTTCATCGACAATTCGAGAGTACTTCATCACATCAACAAACTTGAACAAGAATACTACAATCATTCTCCAATTTGGTGGTATACTTACCCATGTTTTCTTTATTCTATGCTCAACAAATCATTACGAACGATGGAAGTCGATCTCATCATAAAAATGGGATTTTTCATTCGTGATCTTCACAACCAAATCGCCAAACTCCATACTGAACAGTTTGATGGACATTCAACTTCGAATACATTTACTGTTTATCACGGTCAAGGACTGTCTAAGTCTGATTTCAATCGATTGATGAAAACCAAAGGTGGACTTTTATCATTTAATAATTTTTTATCGACTAGTATCCGCCGTGAAGTATCTTTTACCTTTGCTCGTCAAACTATGGAATCATCAGATCTTATTGGTATTGTATTTATCATAAAAATTGATCCATCTATCGCATCGACACCATTTGCTGACATCCGTAACGTCAGCTATATCAAAGGAGAAAAAGGAATTCTCATCTCCATCCATTCTATCTTTCGCATCGGATCAATAAAGCGAATAAACGGAAATCGTCATCTTTGGCAAGTCGATTTAACATTGACCAGTGACAACGATCCACAACTACATGCACTTACTGAACTGATTCGCCAAAAGACATATCCTAAAGTAGTAGGCTGGTATCGTTTGGGTATCATACTAAATAAACTTCGACAGTCTGACAAAGCTCAAGAAGTATATGATATTCTGCTTAATCAAGCAACCACTGATCGAGATAAAGCATATCATTATCATATGCTCGGCGTGGTAAATGAAGATCAAGGTGAATATTCAGAGGCCATTAACTACTATCAACAATCCATTGAAATCAAACAGAAAATTCTCTCACCAACGGATGACGATTTAGCTAAGTCTTATAACACCATCGGTTTAGTATATAACTACAGAGGTGACTATTCGAATGCGTTTTATTTTCATAGGAAAGCACTGAAAATCTGGCTAAAAACTCTCCCTTCAACTCATCCATATTTGGCTACTTCTTACAATAACATTGGTTTAGCGCTTTTCAAAGTTGGTGACTATTCTAAGGCACTTTCATCGTATCAAAAAGCACTGAAAATTCGACAAAAAAATTTTCCTTCAACCCATCCTGATTTGGCTGTATCTTACAATAACATTGGTTCAGTGTATGATCACATGGGTGACTATTCTAAAGCACTTTCATCTCATAAAAAAGCACTAGAAATTCGTCAAAAAAATCTTCCTTCAAATCATCCTGATTTGGCTCAATCTTACAACAACATCGGATTGGTCTATGATAACATGCGTGATTATTCGAATGCACTGTCCTCTCTTCAAAAAGCACTTGAAATTCAACAACAAACTCTTCCTCCCAATCATCTTGATTTGGCCACTTCATACAACAACATTGGTTCCGTCTATGACAATTTGGGTGACTATTCCAGTGCACTTTCATTTCATCAGAAAGCACTTGAAATTCGCGAAAAAACTTCGCCATCACATCCTGCTGATTTAGCCACTTCTTACAACAACATTGGTTTGGTGTATAACAATATGGGTGATTATCCCAATGCACTTTCATATCTTCAGAAAGTATTAGAAATCCACGAAAACACTCCTCCTTCAAATCAATCCACTTTGGCTACTTCTTACAACAATATTGGTTCAGTGCATGAGAACATGGGTGACTATTCGAAGGCACTTTTATATTATCAAAAAGCACTAGAAATTCGTGAACGAATATTTCCTTCAAACCACCCAGATTTAGCTCAATCTTACAACAATATTGGTTTGGTGTATGACAACATGGGTGACTATTCAAACGCTCTTACATTTCTTCAAAAAGCACTAGAAATTTACCGAAACACTCTTCCATCAAATCATCTTGATTTAGCTACTGCGTATAACAACATTGGTTTGGTGTATGATAATATCCGTGATCATATAAACGCACTTTCATGTCATCAAAAAGCATTGGAAATTAAACAGCAAACTCTTTCGTCAAATGATCGGAGTGTGGCTCAATCTTACTATAACATTGGTTCGGTATATTTCAAAATAGACGACTATTCGAAAGCACTTTCGCACTATGAAAGAGCACTGGAAATTCGTCAAAACATTCTTCCTCTGAACCACCCAAGTCTCGCTCAAACATACACCAATATTGGTTCCGTGTATTTCAAGATGGGTAACTATTCGAATGCACTTCCATCTCTTGAAAAATCTTTGGCCATTCGACAAGAAACTCTTCCTCCTAATCATCCTGATTTGGCTCAATCTTACAACAACATTGGTTCCCTGTATGATAACATGGGCGATTATTCTAATGCACTTTCATCACTTGAAACAGCACTCAAAATTCATGAACAAACGCTTCCTTCAAATTATCCGAGTTTAGCTATTTCTTACAACAACATTGGTTTAGTGTATGATAACATAGGTGATTATGCAAATGCACTTTCCTATCTTCAAAAGGCACTAGATATTCATAAAAGAAAAATCTTCTCTTCAAATCATTCTGATTTGGCTATTACTTACAATAACATTGGTTTGGTGTATGAAAACATGGGTGAATATTTGAATGCACTTTCATGTCATCAAAAAGCACTGGAAACCAAACAAAAAACTCTTCCTTCAAACCATCCAAGTGTAGCACAATCTAACAACAGCATTGGTTCCGTATATGTCAAGATGGGTGACTATCCTAAGGCACTATCATATTATCAAAGAGCAGTTGAAGTTCGCCAAAAAGCTCTCCCTGAAAATCATCCTGATTTGGCTCAGTCTTACAACAACATTGGTTTGGTGCATTCCAAGATGGGTGATTATTCAAATGCGCTTTCATCTCTTCAACAAGGACTGGAAATTCACGAAAAAACTCTTCCTTCAAATCATCCAAGTTTGGCTACTTCTTACAATAACATTGGTTCGGTATATGACAACACGGGTGACTATTCAAATGCACTTTTATTTTATCAAAAAGCACTGGAATTTTATCAAGTAACTCTTCCTTCAAATCACCCAAATTTAGCTACTTCTTACAACAACATTGGTTCTGTATATATGAAGACGGGTGACTGTTGGAATGCACTTTCATACCTTCAAAAAGCACTAGAAATCCACGAAAATACTCTTTCTTCAAATCACTCGAGTTTGGCTACTTCTTACAACAACATTGGTTCAGTATATTACAGTATGGGTGATGATTCCAATGCACTTTCATTTTTTCAAAGAGCACTAGAAATTCACGAAAAAGTTTTTCCTTCAAACCATCCAAGTCTGGCTACTTCTCACAACAACCTGGGTTTAATGTATGGCAATATAGGTGACTATTGGAATGCACTTGCATCTCATGAAAAAGCACTGGAAATCAAACTGAAAACCCTTCCGTCAAACCATCCAAGTTTAGCTCAATCTTATAACAACATTGGTTCGGTGCATTTTAAGATAGGTGATTATTCTAAGTCACTTTTATACCATCAAAGAGCAGTGGAAATTCGTGAAAAAACTCTTCCTTCAAACCATCCAAGTTTGGCTCAGTCTTACAATAATGTTGGTTCGGTATGTTTCAAGATGGGTGGTTATGCGAAGGCACGTAGACTTTTTGAACAGTCTCTGCAAATAGTAGAATACTTATTGCCTGAAAATCATCCGGATATTCAATTATATAGAAATAACTTGAAATGTGTGGAAAAGAAAATGTAATTTGTTTTTTTTTATCGTTCAAAATAAAAAATGTACCATAGAGAAGTATCCGCGCGAGTCGTCGATGTAAAAAAAATAGTACGCATTTTTCTTATGAAAATTTACTTGAATTCTTTATCACTATTATGACCATAAGACCTTTCAGATCTTTTATCTTGAATTCATAAACAGTAATTATGATTTGCTCTGATACAAAGAAAGAAAACAGTCAATCTTAATGACAGAGGTGTTCTTAAATGGGTTATCGTACTCATTTCCACGATTATTCAAAATTTTGAGGGGCCACGAACAGTCTGCTTCGAAGAAAGGTCCCAACGATTCGATCCTGTTGAAATACATCAAATAACTGAAAAGCAATAACGAAAGATTTGAAGCATCTCACGATCATAATAAGGATAAAAATTCGAATAAGTTTTGAAAAGACAAATGCATATAGACTCCTGTTTGAGGTCAAAATACTTCTTTTTTTTTTTATTAAGCTTGCTCAGTAGTACACCTACATGCTTTTATTAAAGATCATCATTTTTGGAATATTCTGTACTCGTTGACACGACAGAATGTAATCTCATGGCCGAATCAATAGAATATGTTTTCTGATTTTTCAATATGACATTCTCTTTTAGTCAGAAACTATCACAAAAAGAGAGTTTTCGTGGATTTTTCTTTTTCTCTAGCTTCAAACTAACTAGAACGATGATAGTACAATGGATAAGTTGCCACAATCTTGACTTATAGCTAAGACAGTTGTGAATACAGCTATATGACGACAAAAACAAAAACCCTTAATTCTAGTATAGTGTGATTATGTGTTGAGAAGAAGCGTTTCATATGCAATTGTTCAAATGATCATTCGTATTTTAGTAACTATTACTTTGTCTTACATTTTTCAGTAGAGTAAAACTCGAATGTTATTAGATTTGTGTAAATGCGATACAAAATCTAATAACATGTGCTTTTGATTCAATTAGTATTATATATGGACGCATTGGCATTACACTACTAAGCAAATCAAAACAGTCAAAGAAAAAAAACACATGATTTGATGCTAATTTGATTACTAATTTTAACATTTGCAATAAGATATACTAATATATGAATATATTTTACTCGTTCAAAATGATCTGTACATAACATGTGATGCAAAAGTAATTGTACAAATGTCGATTTCTATTTTTCTTCTTTCAAATTTTATACAATTTAATTTTGTTATGTATTTATGCAGAGAATCATATGAGACGAAAAATAAATACTCGTACAACTAATTTGCAAATTTTATCTTGATTCATTAAATAAGTCATATAAATTCATTGAAATATAATGTTAAGCTAATAGCCGCTATATCATAGGCTCAATTTATATTGAGTGATACTACAACGATTATCAATAGATTTCATCGGTTGTTTTAGTTGTCGACCACTCCTTGATAAATATCTGATTTGTCCATAGTTTAAATATTTATTTAATGTGTGATAAATTTTTGTCCTCAAAATGTATCGTTTTACACGTTTTATTTGATGAAATCGATATAAAGATTGTAAATTGGTTGTACAAATGTTTCTTTTTATGTCATTTTCTTTATGAATATACAGGGGTTCCCAAAATTATAAGACCCCCTCTACAAGTTTGAGAATAATAAAGTTTTCAGCTACTAAAGAAGCTTTGATAAGGGATCTAATGCCATATATATAGACACCGCTAAAGCATCTATCATGTGCTATATTGATCTCTATTTGGTTAAATATTAATAATATTTAGATTCAAGAAATTTTGAATTTCACTCATTGCATAATTATAAGACCCCCCCTCTCAGGAGTATAAAAGTATTGCCTTAATGTTCATTTTTTTAAGTCAAAAACCATCTTGTCAGTATCTGTTCAAAAGAGGAGATAATTAGTTATCTACTGAAAAAAATATAGACTTATATAAGCTATACTTTAACTTTTCTATGGTCGAACAAACTAAAGGGTAGAAAACCTATATCCTACAATAAGCCTATTTTAGCTCAAAAAAAAAGGTTTCCACTTGTTTAATGTAATAAAACTAGATTTAAACTATACCATTAGATAGAGCATTAAAAGTTGTATAGTCCACATATTTATTGACAACAAACTTTGAAGACATTAATAATTGTGAAAAGGTAAAATCAAGATAGTCAAGATAAGGTATTTTGTAAGGAACCTATAAAAAAAAATTTATTTTCATATAAAAACCAGACGTTTTTTTTTTCAAGAGTACCATAAGAAAGAGTATCAAATTCTACACCAACTAGATTACTTCTTTTTACGAAAGCTTATCTCTGAACGCCCGGGAACTTACTCTCAAAAAGGAGACAAATCAGTCTCATTATGCGAAAAAATAATATATGCTAGTGATATCACGAAAGATCATGTTTTAACAATTTTTGAAGTAAAATGTCTGAGAAAGTAAAATTTTAACAAGATAAGATTTTTTTTCTCAGAAATTTTTCTTCAAAAATTGTTAAAACATGATCTTTCGTGATATCACTAGCATATATTATTTTTTCGCATAATGAGACTGATTTGTCTCCTTTTTGAGAGTAAGTTCCCGGGCGTTCAGAGATAAGCTTTCGTAAAAAGAAGTAATCTAGTTGGTGTAGAATTTGATACTCTTTCTTATGGTACTCTTGAAAAAAAAAACGTCTGGTTTTTATATGAAAATAAATTTTTTTTTATAGGTTCCTTACAAAATACCTTATCTTGACTATCTTGATTTTACCTTTTCACAATTATTAATGTCTTCAAAGTTTGTTGTCAATAAATATGTGGACTATACAACTTTTAATGCTCTATCTAATGGTATAGTTTAAATCTAGTTTTATTACATTAAACAAGTGGAAACCTTTTTTTTTGAGCTAAAATAGGCTTATTGTAGGATATAGGTTTTCTACCCTTTAGTTTGTTCGACCATAGAAAAGTTAAAGTATAGCTTATATAAGTCTATATTTTTTTCAGTAGATAACTAATTATCTCCTCTTTTGAACAGATACTGACAAGATGGTTTTTGACTTAAAAAAATGAACATTAAGGCAATACTTTTATACTCCTGAGAGGGGGGGTCTTATAATTATGCAATGAGTGAAATTCAAAATTTCTTGAATCTAAATATTATTAATATTTAACCAAATAGAGATCAATATAGCACATGATAGATGCTTTAGCGGTGTCTATATATATGGCATTAGATCCCTTATCAAAGCTTCTTTAGTAGCTGAAAACTTTATTATTCTCAAACTTGTAGAGGGGGTCTTATAATTTTGGGAACCCCTGTATAATAAAACGAAATTATGTATAGTTCGAAGGAAAAAAACTATCGTTCCAGTGCGTATATCATTTGAAAGAAATAAAAAAAATAAAACAATTCTACTGACAAGAAAATTACTTAAATGATAAATGCCTTTTGAGTTAAGATCCTATGCATTATTTAGAAGCAATTCTCTTATGAATGTCCTGAAAACAGTTCAAATTCTGAGTCTATTGCTATTACGATACAACATTCAGTGTTCCTGTTTGAGATATAGCTATGATACAAGTATATCTTTAATATCACTTCTACATAACCGCAAATTTTATGTTCTTATTTCAGCATAGAAGCAAATCAAAAGGTCTAAAACTTTCACAATAAACTACTCTGTATCGAGTCAATCTCTATGAAAAATTTCAAGTCGAAGTTCGAAGATGTAACCGATACTAGACGAGCTTTTAAAAACATTATCAATTTGTGCAATCATTTCTTTATTATACAAAACTATTCTATTAATTACACATTATTATTCAAATATTGTCAATTACAATAAATTATTTCTTCTATAATATTTTATTTTATTATAAACTAATAACAACCAAAAAAAATTAAGATTAATACAAATCATCTAGCTTAATTGTTTATTTTTTCCGAACTTCAATAAAAGAAAAAAAAAACCAAAATCCTATCTGACACTAAATTTCATTTTACATAGCATGAATTCTATCTAATAAAAATTTATACATATTTTCATCAAGTTTATAATGTTCAATAGCTGATGTTAAAATTTCATTTATATCTCCATATTGTTTTTCATTCATAATTGGAAATTTTTCTTTAATAATTTTATCATTATCATTTTCATCTTCACTTGATGTTACTGATAAACCACTTTCATTATCATCATCATTATCTATATTATTATCAATATTTAAATGTAATTTTTCTGCACATATATTCATTATTGTTTTTTCATTATTATAATCACATGCATAATAAAGATCAAGATAAATTATTCGATTTTCTAAATGTTTAGCTAATTGTAATGCTTGTGAATAATATTTTTCTTTTAATAAATAATAAAAATATTTTATTGATATTTGATTTATAAATGAACGATTACGTAATATACTTGCATCAGATATTGAACGTAGTGGTGAATAAAATGTACGTAAAATTTGTTCAATATAAATATATTTATTATTATTTATATTACGAAATAATTCTTGTATTATATATGATATTGCTAAACGACAATCATTATCTTGTCTTGTCCAATCAAGACACCATAATAAATCAATAATATATGAATAATTTTGAAAATTTAAATAATATCGAAATAATGAATGTATATTATTAAATGGATAATGTATATCAATTAAACCAATAGGACCACCATGAGAAAATTGTAAAAGTAATGTTAAATTTGATGATGATGATAAAATTGGATTTAATAATTGATTTATTGCTATAATAGATTTATTTTGATTTAAATAATAATGAAAATTTAATTTTTTATTTGAAGATAATATAGGCCATATTGAATTAAGAGCAATATCATAAAAAATTAATGAACCTTGTTCATCAGCTACAGAAAATAATAAATTATCAATAATCCACCATAATCCTGTTAAATTTTTTGTTAATAAACATAATTTTGAACGTTCAATATGATTTATTTCATCAATAGAAATTAATGTAGCATCCGTTAAACAAAGTATTGTATGACTAGATGAACGAATAACATATAATACGGATGATGTTAATGATGGAATATGAACAAGACGAAGTGGTACTGAACGAAAATTTTCATAATAATATACATTTAATTCATATGTACGTTCTAAATTATTCTAAAAGAAAAAAATTATTTTAATGGACTTTGATTTGTTTTTGTTTTTTTTTGAATTATCTACATGAAACCAACAAAGTTTGATCTGATATTAGAAAATTAAAGAGTTCATATGTCATCATATTTGACGAGTTCCGTTGAACTGAAACTTTTATGAATAAACGATCCTAGTGTTTCAACTTTATTATAATTCATTTATGATCTTCTTGACAGGCTTTGTCATTAAAAGAGATACAGAGTTCGAAGTGGTTTCAAATGAAAAAAATTTGTACTCACTAAGTTCTTGAAAACAAGAAACAAATCACAGATATTAATCAAATCTATTTACTAACAAAAAAAAATAGTTTTTCTATTTGGAATTAAGTTGGTTAAGATCTATTCTCAAGATCTTTTTGTTAAGTTTCAACAACGTTAAGTAGTCTTTTTCTATAGCAAAAGTTTTGGAGAATAATCGTTGATAAGAATTCAGTTGTATATCTAGAAATTTTTTGATTAATTTCAATGAATCATAAACAAACTCAGATAAATTATTAATGATTCTTATTCGATATTCTTTTCATTAGGAATATTTGTATAATAAAAATTTCTGAAAATCTTATGTTTCTATGATTGACTACCCATGGAAATATTCATCAAAAATAGGATTTGCATAATCAATACGAAATATTTTATGAGAAAAACAAGAAACTAAGACTGCAAGAAAGTCAACTTACGAGGGAGCATTCTCAACTGTCACATCGCTTTTAAGTCGAACATATGCGCATTATGTAGATCCTAATGATCTGTGAATTCTATGAAAAAAGTTCGTGCCATTAGCTTGTTACTACTGAGATACTGCGTTTTTACTGTAGGTTTAAGATAAAAGAGCTGTGGTCCCCCTAAGGAACACGGGGAAAACTGAATTTAAAATTTCGACTTCAAACTTTGCATAGATATAGGCCTTAGTGAGAATACTTTATTGTGAAACTTTCAGCTTTTTTCTGTTGTTCCTATCCTAAGATACAGTTATCATAAAAATTGCTAATATACACCAGCGGATCCGATGTTCTTATTTCAGGTTAGGAGCAATCAAAAAATCTGAAACCTTCATAATAAACTATTCTCATTGAGGCCTATCCACCTGCAAAGTTTCAGACGGAAACTCAAAACTCACTTTTTCTGATGCTCCTGAGGGGGACTACGGCTTTTCCCGAAATATATAGTAAAAATGTTATATCTCAGTAGTAAGAAGCTAGCGGCACGAAATTTTTTGAGAGGATTCATAGATAATTAGGGCCTATATAATGCCCATACGCTCGACCTAAAAGCGATGTGACAGTTGGGAATGTTTCCTCCGTTAGTTTTCAGATGTACACTGCTCCTACGCATGATATAAAATTAAATTTTATAAATATGATTATTTACTTTATCAACATTTTCATTCATTTCAATTGTAGTTAAACCAGATGATGTTGATGAACAATAATAAGGATTTGATGTTTCTGTTTGTATTGTATGCATTATTTCTTTTTCATTTTCATTTTCCCATGGAAAAATAATTGATAAACAATTAAATCTTGTTTTTTTTTTATCACCATCAATTAAATGTCCAGTTGTTGATATACCTTCATTTAACATTGACCACCAAACAGTTATTGTACGATGATCATGATCAATATTAAACCATCGTCGTACAAATATTGTATTTGAATAAGGTGGTAATTCTTCACTTGTTAAACGAATTGATTCATTAGATAAATTAAATTTTGAATCAAATATACGTATTGGTTTATTAAAACGAAATATATCAATTTTTGATAATGTATCATATATAATATATATTCCAAAAGGATTAATATATATATCAGATATTATTGTTGTTATATGAAATTTTTTTTCTAATGTTGTTTTATCAATTAAAATATTTTTTAATGTTCGATTTATTTTATCAATAAAAATAAAAACAAATGTTCCATTTGAAAAACCAAGAAAAATAGTATCAATATATATCCATATTGTACGTATAAGTTTAAGTGTTAATAATAAATTATCTAATTCATTTAATTTATCACGTAAATTATGAAAAATTTTATTTGATATATGAAATGGTAATAAACGTGATGTAAAATAATCATTATATTCATCATAATATGGTGCTTTTTTAGGTGTTTTATCATTTGTTGATGATGAATTTGAAGTATTATGAATAAATGGTAGAATTGATTGTTTAGTTGAAGGTGGCTTTTGTTGATAACTATGCATACTTATATCACGTTCATGAAGACCAGCATATTTTAATGTCCATAATTGAAGAGAACAAAGTAGAGAACATTCAGAAGACATATTTTTGATGCTAAAAAAAGAAAAAAGATAATATTTTAATTATTTTATGATCTGTTAAAAAATATATGAAATCATCAATATCTATGATATGATTTTCTACTCTAATAGATTCTATGCGACACATTACAATTCTAATTAGAAGTAGAAAATATCTATCATTAACTGTTCTTAAATGATTATTCGTAGTAACATTGTGTCAATTGTTTCTTCATCACCATTATTCATGATGAATGTCAAACAATTACTTAGGAAAATCCACTATAATGAATCATCTAATTAATGTAATAAAATTTCATTTTCAATTAAATTATTAAGATAATTATTCAATTTTTATAAAAAATTTTGAATAATATTAAATTCATTTAATAGCGACATCTAAAAATGTTTTATTATCATATTTTGAATAATTAAAGTTTTAATATATTAAATCCTATCATTGTTCTAGCTAAATCTATTTCTTAATAATTAAAATTAAAAGAAATTTATATAACTGGTTAATTATTCATCTATGAGAATTGTTCGATTGGTGGTTTTGTCATACTGATATTCTTAAAAAACAAAACAAAATAAACAAAATTGTTTTTTTGATGCATATTCTATTAACAGAAAAGAAAAAACCTCAACTTCTTTTATGTATTAATCTTATTATTATTATTTAATACATAATGAATCTTTCACTTGATACAATATTAACAAATGCACGTGAACTTGTTTCTCGTTTACGTCGTGATGATACTACAGCTGATACAGCTGTAAGTCAAGCACAATATGTTCAAGAACGAATTCTTAGTATGAAACAGGTTCGAAATATATATATATACTAAAACTTAAATAAATGTTTTTTGTACTAAAACAAAAATAAACAATAATATGAAATAAGTTATTCAACATTAAATAAAAGGTATCTATCTTTTATAAGATCGTTAGACATGATAAAACTTTTATAAATGAAATAGAAAAGAATTAAAGAAATTTTGTCCTTTGAAATATTCTCATGTTTTTCTTTTTTTCTATTTATAAAATATTCCTATTCATTATTAAATATCATTCTTTTTCTTTTATCTTCTTATACTTTATTATAGTATGGTGATGATCTTGCTGAATTAAATGATATAAGTTCTCATCGTCCAAAAACAGCAATTCTTTATAATATTCAAAAAGAAAATCGTCTTATTAAGTAAATTATATATAAAATAAAATTAATAATATATATATATTGTTTTTGTTTTTTGTTTTGATTTATAAATTAGACAATTACAAAAAGAAAATGAAGAATTAAAACAATTAGTTATTGAACATCGAAGTGTATTAGAAAAAATTATGTATAAATATCGACAAGATATACAACAACTTATTTTAATGAATAAAGAAGAAACTAAAGCTATTAATATCTTTAATAATTCATTAGCACAGGTAATGCATTCAAAATATATACTAAATCTGAATTACATATATATCCTGTTTATATATAATCAAGGTCAATAAGAAAAATATTATTTTGAACTAATGATGTTTTTGTTTTTTCAAAATAATTACAAATTAATTAGTAGCAAAACTATCAGATCAAATGCATCAATTTTATAAGTCATGCATAGAGTTACGGTTTTTAAAAAGAAACCAATAAGTTTAGGTTAGATTTATATCTACTTCATATCAATGTAGAAAACAACATCTATTGACTATGAACATGTAAGAAGAGAGGTTCGATGCATTTTCTTTTATATGAAATATTGAATAAGTTCTATTCAATTTCATTTAAAACAAAAAAGATCTTCTATTATTTATTAAAATAAATGTTTGTAATTTCAGTACAAAATTCTATGAATCAGATTAAGATTAAGCAAACATGACGATTTCTAGGATAAAATTAATATAGTATCAAATATTTATTTGACATCATGGACAAGTTAAGCTTATAAGATTCTATTTTGAAACAAAAACATATACATGATAAATTCTTTTTCAAATTATTACCTATAAAAACTACTGACACGTCCATAGCTCACAGAAAAAAGATAAAATTCGAAATAAATAACATATTTTGCACTGAGTTTTTTTTTTTTTTGTTGACATCGACATTTAAAGTACATCTTGTAAAATGAAAAAGTAATATATTTAATTCAAAAAAAAAAGAAAAAACAAAAGGAAAAATATTTTTTCTTTTTTTTAATGTCAAAAGAAAAAAAAAGCTTACGGATTATTTTACTTATCCATGGATTTACTATAAAAAGAAAAATCTGCGCCTTAATCTTAGTATTATTTAACATTGAAAAATATGTCTTATATTTTTCTTTAAGGATATTCAAGATAAATCATCAAAAATTCATGAAATGGCATCAGTTATGCGTCATGCTATTGGTATTGATGATACAAATAGTGCATCACAAGAAGAACGTATAAATGCATTATTACTTGAAAATCGTGGTTTAAAAGAAATATTATCTGCACATGAAAATATTCATCGATCTAAACAAATATTAACAACTACATCAGAGGTTTGAGTTAATTGATTTTCTATTTGTAGACAAATAATTTCTTAGAATTTTTAACATTAAAAGAATTATTTATGAATATATATCATGATATTTTTCTTTGTTTTTTTACCTATTTCTATTGACTTAATATCTTTGTTTGAAATCAAAAAGATTTTTTAACCAAATATATAATTTTATAAAAAAAAGAAGAAGAAGAATATTTTCTTCGAATTGTCGAGAAAAGAACTTTGTTTTACTTTAGAAAATATTAAAATGTTGAATTTCTTATTAACTAAGTAAATATATATTAGGATTTATTTACTTTAGAAAATGAAAAAGAATATTTTTTTTGTCTAGATTAATTGACGAGTCACGATTTTTTTTTCTTTTATAAAAAATTCTTTTGGATTTGTTTTCGATCCATAAGTACAAAATGGTTTCTTTTTTCTCTATTTCTTTATTAGTAAAAAGAAGCAGGATGAGAATCAAGTAAATACTTAAAATTTTTTTATTCAATATAATGAACAATTCAACAGCACAGCCTGTCCATAGGTAACGCACTCATCCATTTTTGACCTTCTGATTGTTATAACTCGATAATTAAAGGTAACAAAGAGCTGGAACTTTTACTGCAGCAAGATATATGAAAGTTCTAGTTTTACTAAAATTTTGATTGAATTGCGATGATTCTAGAAGGATAGAAAGCCGTGGTAACGCACTCATTTAAAGAGTCACTCAAAAAAGCTCACATTCCTAAAAATTTTCTCGCTCTGAACAAAATGTTTTTATCTGTGTTTGAAGCCAAGACAACAGACCTGATGATGGTGAAATGTATTTTTTAGAAGCTTGTTCCTACAAAGAGTTATCACCAAGACATTAGGGTTACGCGCTCATCAACTTTTTTTCGAGCTCCTTAAAAAAGCAAATTTTTTTTTATAGCTTTGACAACAATACAAGGTAATTCATTGATGTCAAACTGTAATTCAATCTTTGATAATACCACTATTATTTCCATTTTTTTAAATGATAAAGTAGTGTTCGAAATATGATAATAGACAATAAGGTCATTTTTGCACAAAAAATGCTTGATTTTGGCTGACGATCATCATTTCTTCTCGTTATTATCCAAAACAAATGACATCTATCAGTAGAGAATATACGAAAAACCTATAAAAAAAATTTTGAATGAATAAGTTCGAGAAATCTTCTGCTCAACTTTGACAACGCTGGGTCGCCGTTAGCTGGACGAGCTGAGTAATAACACAAAATGTTGATCTGTATATCGAATTGAGAACGAATATTTTTTTTTTCTTTTTATCAATTGATCGAAAAATTTGTTGCTCTTTCGCGAACAGTATATTATTCATATTTGTCATGCATTGTTAAGTGAAACGAGATGAGAAAAAACATTCATGAAATAAATATGGTAATTTTTATATGCATTCGTCAAAAACATCTTGTGAAATGACAGTTATTTATAATTAACTATCATTTTATAAAGTATTTGTAATAGTGTCATAAAAGTCAAAATAACTACCGTTTTACAAGGTCTTTTTAATAGGTCTATAAAAGTTAAATCTAACACGATGTGTTTTTTTTTTGATGAGTTCATATAAAAATTATAAATTTATTGTATGAGTATTTTTATCATATTATTTCATTTTATGAATAAGTGACAAATATGAATTATATACTATTTGAAAGTAGAGCAATGTTCCTATCATCTAATTAAAAAAAAAACAAATATTTCTTTCAGAATCTATTTATTAAAAAAAAAAAGTCTAAGGATCGATATTTTCTATTATTAATTTTGCATCGCACATTGAGAATAATATTCACATGGGAATGAACTTTATTTGACAATCATTTTTATTGAGAATTACATCAATATCCCTACGGATATTTTATTAGATATTTTGAGTTAAGATTTTATTCAGATAATCAGTTATAGACCAAAAAAAGAATATAGTTATGATAAAGAAAATATCAAGTAAACATTTTGAAAACGATCTATAAAAAAACCTTTCTAACGAACGAACATTTTCAACTATTCAATCAATTTTTTAATGAAAGCAAATAAAATTATAAGTTGTTGATTATGCAGACTTTTCTTATGATTTATATGCTAGTTTTATTTTTTTTTGAGAGTACCGAAAGTTTTTTTGAACTTATTATTGATCTATTCAGATTATAAAAACATATTGAGTTGTCTATAAGTCAATAATCCTGTCTGTTTTCTAAAAATAATTTTTCAGAAACATAATATCATTGTGAGAAATTTTTACATTGAAAAATTGGTATATATCCATTATATGAATGAAAACAGCTGTAATATCTAAAAATAAAACGCTTTATAACAAAAAAAAAATAAATTATAATTTTCTAGTTTTATTACAATGAAAAAAATAATTGTAGAAGAAAAGTTTAGTCATTTTAAAAAAATCGATTTTTTGAGAAAATCAATATATCAAATATCTAAGTAGATTATCATTTGTTCATACAAGGTTGATAAACTATATTCTATTAGATTTTGTTTAAAGAAGTAAATAATCAATTAAAGACATTTCTGCGTAAAATAGAGAAATTTATTTATTGTTTTAATAATAATAATAAATAAATCATTTGAAATATTATTTTTAATCGATTTCTTATGTTGTAAAAGTGTGCACTGGATGTATTTAAACATACTTAACAATCCAATAGTGTCTTAGTACTTTCTTTTTTTTAAATATTATTGAAGCGTTGAAATATTAATCCTCAAAGACAAATTTTCTTAATACCACATAATAACTGTCATTATTAGGTAAATATAGGAGAAAAAGGATCCGAGTGAAACCTTATATAAAACATTAATGAAAAAGTTAATCTTTTGAATATTTTATGAGATCTTGATGATTTTTAATACGTCATTTCATTTATTATATTTTTAGTAGGAAAATTATTCTTTGATAACATAGTAATCATATGAAAATGTATGAAAAAAAAAAAAAACATTACTATAAAAGATCTGATAATAAGATTTATTCTATATATATAACATCATATTCAATTATCATTAGTTGAGAGAATAGTTCTAATGCTTCTTTCGCCTAATACTTGACGTTCATAGAGTTTTGAAGTGTACATAGAGTACACAACTAGCTTTCCAAGTAGAAACAACACAATATGATTTGCTCTTTTTTTTTGTTACTCTGTAACACTATTTAAAAATTTTTTTTTTCTTTTTGCTGTAAAACTTCAATAGACATTTAGTTTCAATGAAGATGTGATTTTAAAAAAATAGGACAAGAACTTTACTTTTTTTTTTATGTATTTTAGTCTACGATTGGTAAACCGGCAATATTACAAACAACGAATATAATATCACAAGAAAATTCTTCTCCATCCTTTCCTCGTATTACTTCCGATCTTAATACTATAATTCCTCCTACTCAGCAGGATATGTCATCCTGACATTGGAACTATTCAACAGATATTTTTTTTTTCTCCAATCATCATCATTAGTATTTCACATGTATAATTTATCTTTTTTTTTTTGTCACTTTATTAAATGTTCCATTTTGTTTGTTATTATTATCCCTCTTAATTCCAATCTAGTCGTATTTAACAAAGAAAAGCCAAATCCAAAAATTATTTTCTTTTTATATATTTCTGTGTCATGATGTGTTCATTTAATATAAAGCAAAATGAATGAAATTGTTCTCTTTTGTTCTTTTTGTTTCTTCTTCTTTAGATTTATATAGAAACATCATTCCAACAAAAGATTATATGATCAGTATAGTATTACTATAGGTAAGAAAGTAAAATAAGTTTTTGTGACATTCAAAAAAAGAGAAAACACAGAAACAGATGTGAATTTTCTCGTTATTATAAATTAAAATGTTATTGATATTGTTTTTTTTTTTTCGTTTCATATTAATAGGTAAAAACCTATTGAATATCTATGATGAATGTACGATTCAATAGAATAGAACTATTATTAACTCGGGTAATATAGAATTTATTTTATTTATTTTAATAATTTTTATTTTTAATTTGTAGAATTGATAAGAAAAAGAACTTTATTCTATTTCGAATATGATTACAGCAAAATCATCAGTAGAAAATAGATTATTTGATTGGCAAGAACAACAACAGGTATGCATAGAAAATAAAAAGAAGAATATCTATATTTGAATATTGTTTCTTATTCTTCATAATCCATATAATAGTTATTTTTCTGCTTCGGACTATAAATATATATATAGAATATGGGAATGACTAGTAATATTTTGGTAAATACTAGATGTGATGGCAATGATTCGTTCGACCGGATCACTCTCTTTTTTCCGTTATTCTTATTTCAATTATCTATTGCATTCGCTTGCGTTCTTTGTGCGTGTTCGAAGTCTCATTCGGCTTCATAATCTCATTTCAATCGTCTTTCTTGTTTTTTTCCACCCCCTCTTTTTTTTCTATCACTATATAACATATATACTCTACTTTGTTCTCAATGGTTGCATTCAAATGTAGAATGGATATATCAATGAAATATTAAGCCCTAAAGCAAAACCGGTAACCAAAAAAAAAAACGAAAACAATATAAAACTTATCTTAGATTATTGACTCTCTAACAATGACATTGATTACACGTGAACAAGTGAGTGTCAAATATGTTAATATACATTTTTTTTATTTTTAATTAATCATCAAGGTAATGTCAGTTAATTAATCACTCAATGAAATAAATATGTTAATATAGAATTGAAAAATAAAAAATAACATGAGAATTATAATATTTTTCTTTTTTTTTTTTTTTGGCTATAGAAAATACCTAGTAAATGTAAGTTATTCAGTCATCATTTATAGTTTTGTTTTGCTAATATATAATGACTAACATTTTGATGCATCATTTTTATTTTATTTATTTATTCTCATATGTCTTAGTATCTACTTTCTATTGACAATATAAAATTGCTCTTGCATGCGTAGGTTCAAATTATCGTTTTTATTCGATCACATATTTCCTTGATGAAATGCTTGTTAAATAATAAGTGTGTTCTATGCTATTGCTTGTCTTTCCTTCTCTTATCTATTTTGAGTATCTATAGAAATATAATAATAGAATATGACAGTAGGCATTGTTAATGTGCGCAGTTCATTGAAAAGAAAAAGAAGAAGAAGAAGATGAAAAACTCGACACTCAGATCTATCTGTTATTTCTTTTTCTTTCTTTTTTTGTTCTCTTGGAAAAGAAATGATGAGTAAAGAAACTGTTGTTATTTTGAAAGATGATCTTTTACTGATGGAAAATAGAATTCTTGATGTCAAATATATATTAAAAAAGAAAGAAAAAATCATATTTGTTAATGACAGCTGTCAAAATCGATGCATGTTGAGTGAGGTAGAAATCATTGTAATACATAAAGATAGATATATTTTCAGTTTTTTTTTTTGTCTTTATTTATAGTCAAATACGAAAAATGATATTGATGTTACGTTATTTTGGACAAGAAATTTTATAGTTCTATCAATTGGAAGTATTCTAATAACATTTATTGTAACATTTTTAGCTGTAGTAAGTTAAATTTCATAAAAAACGATTTTCTTTGAAAAATAAATCTTAATCAAGATCTATTGGTGTTCAAAACAACAAAAATTATCAAAAACAAAATCTCATTCATCTGAATTAACATCTTTTACAACACATCCTATTAATGTTAAAACACCGAGACCAAAAGAAATCAAATTATTTCCTATTATACCAAAATTAGTTCAACCAAATATATCACCAATATTATTGCCTATTATTGAAGATAATAATAATAATAATATTCATGGTGATCGATTTACAACAGATACATGTTCAACAGCAGATTCATCATCATCGTCAACGGCTGTAGCTACAAAAAAATTTCGAAAAAAAAATCTATTAGAAAGGTAATATATTTTGATATTTGTCCTTTGGACTACCCAACAAAAAAAAAACAACAACAACAAATTAGAAGGCGTTTGATGAGAAACATCAAACAGCTGTCTAAAATAATCATTGATTAAAGAAATATATGTATAAGGTTTTTTTTTTTTTTTTCTATACAAATCGATAGGTAGTAAACAAGAGCAAAAATTATATTTTGCTTGTTGTTTGGCCACCTCCACCTTTCTTTTATCCTACCTACGTTATTCTACCTACGCTTACAAATGTGTTTACTTATATATGTGTTGTTGAATGTCGTTAATAAATGACAAACAATGTATATTTGTATGCAAAATCTTTAAAACATCTTTTGTCAATATTACTAATAGAAAAACAAAATACACTTGAAAAAGAAATCAAAAGTGAATAGACTTTTGTTTTCTTTTTTTCTTGTATGTGGGCGTGTTTCCTTTTTTTCTCTTCTTCTTATTTTGCGTATGAATAATACAAGAGAATTAGAGGATAAGGAAAGAATACATTATTTAATTAGATAATTTTTCTATGAATTTTTGTAACATCATTAGAAAACCTATTGATGACTAATAAAAACTTATTTAATATTACTAACAAATAGAATTTTAACTTATTATGAATTTATAGAAATATCACAATGACCAAATAATATCTAAAATAGCTGTAAGAATTCTCTTCTTTTTTTTTTTGTTCTGTTCGTTACAGTAACTGCTCTTAAAATAATCATGAGTGAAATAAAAGAAAGTGGCAAAAAGCGAAGGAGGGAAAGTGTGTGAGAGAGAGAGAGAGCGAGAATGAAAAAAGAAACAAAAAAAAATATATTAATGTTTCTTTTACATTTGCTTCTTTTCATCACAGTAATGAAGGAGTATGTTTAGATTATCATATCTATAAATCTTTTATTTTTGATCTCGAATTATATTATCTTATAAAAAAAAAGCATGACTAATTAAAGTATTGCAAATATGCATATGAAAAAAAGTATTTTCATTATATATTAGATGACGTTCTAAGATTTATTATAAATATTTCAACATAAAACAGACGGATTAGTATAGAAAAACTATGGAAGTGGAGTCACCAACCGTCTGTTGTACGTATTGGAGTAAACCAACATCATTATTATTTAAAAGAAGGTACGTTATTTTAATCGTTGTTCCTTTGCTCTTTTTCTTTTTTAAATATGATTTTATGATGAATATTAAGTATTTGTAAATGTTATAAATAAGAAATTTTCTAAGAATAGAAAGTCAGATAATATTGTTTTAGAAAATAAAATAGATTTGTTTTTTTGCTATATCGAAAGATGAAGTCACATATAGTGTGAAATAACATTTTTGTTTCCGTTGTAAACGGAAATGGAATACAAGGCGCTCCAATTTAGTTTTAAAACAATATACTTATCACGCTAAGAAATCCCACGTAGAATTTAAATTTCAACTATTCATAAGTTTTATTATCGCTCAAGGTCATATTAGCGAGATTTATTCAAAACAAAAAAATATTCTTATCATTAATTATGAGATGTGTGTGTATTTTAGGAGAGGTTCAAATAATTCGTTAACAATCTCAATAGCTCCAAAACATCGTCTTCTTAATAGTCCACCAGTTGATTGGTAAATAAAAAAATTTTTTTTTTTGCAAATAAGAATTTTTATTTATTTAAATTTTTTTTTTTTTGTTTTTGAAGTCCATCTGATGAATATTTATTAACAGCAACAAGAAAATTAACTATTGATGAACTTCATCAACATGCACAAGATGCTCGATTACTTTATCATGAATTTTGGGTTTGTATTTCAAAGAATAAAATAGAAAAAAAGGAAAAAATCTTTATTCATTTAGACAATTCCAACAAATCATCTTGAAAAAGTTCGTATCTGTGGTGCTGGTACTAAAAATCGATATGGTACAATTATTGCTAGTAAGAATAAGAAATAAAATCTTGTTTTTTTTTTATTAATTATCTTTATTAAAGATGAACATTCTCGTGTAAAATTATCTGAACTACCTGGTGATCCACTTTCATCATATATTAATGCAAATTATGTTAATGGTTATTTAAATGAATATCATGCATTTATTGCAACACAGGGTCCACTTGCTAATACAATCATAGATTTCTATCGAATGATTTGGCAAGAACATGTACCAGTTATTGTTATGATAACTCGTTTATTTGAAAAAAATAAAGTAAGAAAGAAAAAAACAAAATTTTTATTCCTATAAAAAAACAAAATTGTTTTAGGCAAAATGTGAAAGATATATACCAGATAGCCAAGCTATTCAATATGGACCATTTCAAGTTCAAGTTAAATCAATTTCATATCAAACCGATTATGAAATACGTCGGTTGATAATTGAAGTAAAATTTTAAAGCTTAATGTTTTCTGTTTTTTTTTTCATATGAGTTTTTTTTTTTAATTTTAGTTTGAAAATGAACAACGTGAAGTTGAACATTATTGGTATACAGGTAAGAAAATGAAATAAAGCTTTTGTTTTTTGTATCAATAAATGTTATATATAGCATGGCCAGATCAATCTTGTCCGGATATTGCTCAACCATTAATTGAACTTGTTAAAAATGTTGAAAAAAGTCGATTAGAATTATCGAATTTAAATAAACATTCTGGTCCTATTGTTGTTCATTGCAGGTACATCAATTTTGTTTCTTTAATGACATGAGAGAAGAAAAAAAAAAGCAGTGTGCATTAAATTTAACAGAATATGTCTGCGACATGTTAATCAAATATAATGATAAATAAAACAAAAAACAAAAACAAGTGTTACCTTTGTTACTTGATCTGTTTCTTTTCAAAAAAAATTATTTTAAAGAGTTGTTTTAGCTTATTTATTAATAACATTATGATAGAATCTTCATTCGAGTGTTTATATTAAAGATAAATTACGATAGGCGTAGGTGGACAGCATCAAAGAATATGTTTATATAGCAAAAATAATAAGTAATATTTTTAGAAATAATAGAATTCAATTAATAAAAGTATGTCGAATTAATTCATATGGAAATTGAATTAATTCTGTTGAAATCTAAAATAGTTTTGATTACATTCAATATAATATTTAATAATAAGTTTTTTATTCTAGTGCTGGCATTGGTCGTACAGGATGCTTCATTGCATTGAGTAATGGTATAAAACAGCTTGATAATGAACATATAATTGATATTGTTCGTATACTTTGTGATTTACGTCGAGATCGTGGTGGTATGATACAAACAAATGATCAATATCAATTTGTTTATCAAGCATTAAGCGAATACGCAAGAACGTTGCAATTATCATCTTGATGATCTTTTTTTTTATTTATTTTCTTTTTTTCTTTTTGTTCAACATTTGGTCGACAATCTCTTGTTTTTTATTTTTTCTTTTTTTCCTTCCGGGTTGTCGAGTATTAGGTATTCTTAACTCGTCTATCTTTTTTGCAGATATAAAATATATTAAGGTGTGAGAAAAGACCTATTCTCTAACATATTGTTCTATTTTCTTTATTGCTCTTTCTATATGCGCGCGCATGTATGTGTGTGTGTGTGGTCTATAATACTATTTGTTTGCGTGTTAACCAAAGAGAAGAAAAAAAACTTGCAAAAAGTGTTTTTATTTTTTCAAATTTAAAGAAAAGAAAAAGAGAAAAACCCGATGATGATAATATTTTTCTAATCATTGGTATTTATCACATCGAATGAATTCTATTTTTTTTCTTCCCCCCCGTTGTTGTTTATTTTTGTTTGGCTAGGGAATTTATGTCGTTCACATTTTAACCCGTTGACATTCCACTGTACATTTGTATGATGCGTTTACTTTATTTTTATTTTTTGTTCTTTTTTTTTTTTGAAACATAAAATGGATCTGTAGAAATGAATATTTAAAAAACAAAAGAAGTAAAGATTTGAATTTTTTTGTTCTTATCATTAGATAATGTCCACAGTGGCTTTACAAACGGGTAATCGTTCATTAGGTAAAATACGTTCGTTAATATTGCATATTGATTGTGCATATGCATCAAATGATGCATCGATTCGAACGCCAACAAAATCGGCAACATCGGTTACATATGTTGGTGATAATTTACCTATTAATCTGGGTTTAAATGAAGTAAAATCACTTCGATTAACTGATATGAGACGTGGTGGTGGTGGTCGATCAAGTTTTAGTGGAATTGTAGCTACCGTTTTTGGTGCACAAGGATTTGTTGGTGGTGCTACTGTTAATCGACTTGGTATATTATTTAATTATAATTAATAAAAAAAAAAACAAAATCATGATTTTGTTTTTAGCAAAGGAAGGTTCACAAATCATTGTACCGTATCGTGGTGATGTTTATCATTTACGCGAACTTCGTCTACTTGGTGATCTTGGTCAAGTTCTTTTTACAGTAAGAAAATTTTTTCTTGCGATATATGATCAAATTGTTCATAGATTCGCAAGGAAATCGTTTTGCAACCGAGATGATGATTCGGAAGTCAAATTTTCACGTGATCATAATTTTTTATTAAAAAACTCAGTACAATTTTGATATTTAGAGAACGAAGGTTCAGCAAATGAATATCATCTCGGTTGAGAGGCAATTTTAAATCTAGATAAGTTCCTTGGTTACGCCCTTCATTTATAAAATATTTTTCTCAACAAAAAGAAACACCCAAAAACTGAACTAATACAGTTCTAATAGATGTCAAAAACACGTTTTGTGATGATGATCGTCCTCCTTTCCCCAAAACCTTAGAACATTTATGTCTTCCATACATCATTTATTCTATTGACATAAGAACATGTTTACTTATTACACTATGAAGAAGTTGATAAGTATTTTCAGAATAAAAGTACTTTTTATTTTATTTTAAGTATTAGTAGAATATTATTCATAAGATTTTAATTATAGCCATTTCATGGTAAAGATGAAGCATCCATTCGTCGAGCTTTACAATATTCAAATGTTGTTATTAATTTAATTGGTCGTTCAAGTGAAACTCGGTAAACAACTCTTAAGTTTTTCGTTTAATTATAACAATATTCTTTTTCTCTTTATAGTAATTTTTCATTTGATGATGTGCATGTTAAATTAGCTAGAACAATAGCAAGATTATCACGAGAATGTGGAGTACAACGTCTTATTCATTTTTCAGCTTTAAATGCTAGTCCTAATCCACCAGCTATTATTATTCGAAAACCATCAAGATTTCTTCAATCAAAAGTAAATTAAATATTATTGAAGAAAATTTTCATTATATATTTTGTTTTTTTTTACAGTATGCAGGTGAATTAGCTGTTAGAGAAGAATTTCCTGATGCAACAATATTTCGACCATCGGCTATTTATGGACATCAACATAATGATGGATTTATTGCATATCATTTTTCTAGATGTAAAATTTTGCTGAAGAATTTTTCTGTTTTTTTTTATTGTTATTGTAGGGGTTCGACCATTATCATTTCTTCGTGTTCCTCTCTATGCATCAGGAGAGAAAACTGTTAAAGCACCTATATTTGTAAGAAAAAATTCATGTAAATTATTTATTAAAAATAATTTCAAGAGATTTTTTTAGGTTAATGATGTTTCAAATGCAATTTATGCAGCTATTCGAGAACCAATGAGTGTTGGACAAACTTATGAAATTTATGGGTAAATAATTTAATGAAATATTTATTTTATTTTTATTTCTATATTTATCAATAGACCTGAACGTTATAAATTACGTGAATTAATTGAATATTGTCTTCGATATATGCGTCGAAAAAGTATTATTACACCATTGACACCAGATGTTTTGTAAGATTATATTTTGAATAGAAAAATTTTTGAAGAATTAATCATAATATGTTTGAATTTTCTATTCAGTGTGAAAGCAATAGCAAATTATACGTTTCATAAAAGTCTTTATAATATCGATCGTATGCAATGCGTATGTTATATTAATTGTTTTATTATCAATAAAAATGAATTTTTCTTTTTTTATTTAGGCTTATGTTTCCGATACAGTTACACCTGGTTTACCGACAATACAGGATTTAGGTATTGAACCGGTAAAATTCTGTGATGCCATTGGACATATGATGGCTTCAATGAGAAAAAGTGGTCGATATGTTGAAAATCCCGAAGATTTCTTAATACCTGATCCACCAAAACCTATTTCACAAGAACTTGAACTTTCATTTAATTTATCCTCTCCTTAATATTGTTATTATTTGTCTTTTATGCTTGAGAAAATATCCAAGTAGTAGATTACAAAACATTTTTTTTGCTTCATTTTCCTTTTCCATATAAATAAACGAACCCTTTATATAATTATCAATATCTATTCAATAAACAATAGAAAAAATAACAAAAATAAAAAAATTAATAGTTGAATTATTAAACAAAGTGTATATTATACTAGCGCAAGTACCCGGCGTTGCTCGGGAAAATTCGATATTGGATGCTCGAGACTTTATAGAATGTTACTTTCATGATTTGCTATGAATAACGACCTTGGTTATCGAAGAATGCCCTCCAATGTCTTTTCCCCTAGAATCTGTATCGGTTCTTAGTATTTAAGTGATTTGTTTTGGAATTCTTTAATGTAAGATAGATTATATGCACTGAAATACATTTTTAATTGCAAAGCTGTTTGATACACAACATTTTTACTTTTTGCATCTGCGGTAAAGACATACAAATGCTTTGTAGTCTCAACTCTAGAACATGCCACATAAAGTTAACCATGAGAAAAGCAAGGAGTTTCCAGATATGTATAGAATCCAATATAATGCTTCGATAATTCCATCATATTTAGTGAATTTCCAATATGCACTATAACACACAGATAAAACGTACGATATTCACGTTCTACTTGCATTTGACACAATCCATCGAGTAGAGTCATGGATGATCCAGGAAGGTATCGAGATCAATGGATTCCCGATTCCCTGCTCCCTATATCCTTCTTCAGATTATTCAGTGTTACTCATTTTCCCAAAAACTCGGTTCCTGTTAGGTCCTGACTAAAGAATAAGTTATTGAGGTGATTGGACCCCCAGCTTCGAATTCATCGTTTTCCAGAGAGTAGAAGTGTTTTTGTCTGTTTTCTTCGCAGCTGAATTCCAATTGGTAATTGTCAAACCAATCAGATGTCGAGGCAAATGGATCTCAGATTCGAGTTCAGCATTCTCGAAAACTTGTAAATATATGTCTTGCGTCTGCTCACAACGTCCTTCTGAGTAGTTCTCTCATACTACCAAACCCTTGAATCTGATTGGTCAGGCACACAGACGGGTCTATTACGGGCGAAGGATCGATACTTTTTGGAAAAAAAAGTAGTCATTGGCCTTCTCCTGAATGAGAGGAAGGTTTCTGGGAAAGTTTGGTGCCATTTGCTTGTACGTTGTGAAAATGCATAAAGAACAAACAACCAGACAAACAAACTTTCTTCTTTATATTATATAGAAAAGAGGGGGGGGGGGGAATAATACCTCTCCACTCCATTCCCTCTCTCAATCCATCCGCTGTCGAAATACCCCTGCTCGAGTTATCGAGAAAATAATTGCACTCCGAACCACTATTATTGAAAATTGGGGGGCCTTCCCCACCCCCTCGGTCGCGCCGACCTCGTCTCGACCTTCCGCTGGATATAAGGGTATGTCATGGAAAGTTTGGTGACGTTAGCTCTTACAGGGACCAAATGCATAAAGAATAGACAAACAGGCAAACAGACAAACATTCTTCTTTATATATTAGATATACTGCAGCTGATTATCTAATCATATTAGACAAATATATTCATACCATTAATACGTCATCAATTGCGTCAGAAAAAAAGAACTAATACGTCATCATTGTAAGCAAGGAAAAAACCTCGTGTACACATTCTTTTCCTTATGCTACATTTCCGATTTCTAATGTTCTTCTTGCAATCGTTCAGTCGTACTTGTTTACCCAAAAACTCAGTGTCTCTTGATTTTAGACTAATCATTAAGTTATCGAAGTGACTTGACCGCAAATTCGAATTTATCACGTCTAAAACACTTTCCTCATCATTTTCCCGAAAGAATAAGTGTTTTCATCTGTTTTCTTCGAAGCTGAGTTCCTATTGGTTTCGGGACAACCAATCAGATTTCGAGATAAATGAACTCCAGATTCGAATTCACCGCCCTTGAAAACCTTTGGTTCCATGTTTTCTGTGTGTTCACGAAATGATGCTCAGTAGTACTTCTATAGTACCGAATACTGCAATCTGATTGGTTAGCAACAAAGACAGGCTTTTCCAGGCAAAGAATCAACTTTTTTTCCAAAAAAAAGTAGATGCCGACCTTCTCCT